TAACAGTGTAGCTCAAAGCCACGCCAGCACTCGGTGCCAGAGCAGCACCACGCAGAGCTCCTCGATGTTCAGCATCTCTGACTACGACACCAGAACGAGGGCACCGGGCAGACACAGGGGGCCTTGGTGACAATGGGCAACAGCTCGACCACTGACCTTCTCACTGCCTTTCTCAGCTGTGCCTCTGGGACACGGCCACAGAGAAATGCTCGTTTTGTTTTCAAAATTCAAGTTTTCCTCGGGGACTTATTTCAGGGAGTGATTCCTGGTTTGCAAATGGTCTGCAAGCTGCAGGGCTACGTTACTTAGATCACAGTCCCAGCTCCCGTTGCCTGGGTTCAATAATTAACCAGCTAAAGTGCTCTCAAGTGCCCGGCTTGTGCGAACCGCATGCAGTTGCGCTCCGCGATTTTCGCTTAACGCCTGTTATAGCTACAGCCATAAAACCACTCCTAGGTAACACCCTGACAAAACAGACACGTCTTAAATTTATTTTTCCTAATCCCTTCCACAAGTATTCACCAGGACATTTTGACTAATGGACACTAAATGCAAAAAAGCTAAGAATAAGCACATTCATTTATCTACTCTGAGGGGCACTGCTATATTTTGCAGGCAGTCTTCCTGCCGTAAGCAGTTCTGCGGGTTTCTGGGTTGTTATTAATTACCTCTCACCACTGATAATGGCAGCCCTCGTTACGGCAATCGCTCAGGTATCGGCTGCCTGCAGATGTATTTTGTGACACCTCTCCGATGCGGTGGGCTCGGCGCCGGGCGTAGGACCCCCATCCCTGCCCTCACAGGTTGGCAGGACAGGCAGCAGCCATCTTGAACCATCATGAACTTGGGTTTTACTGCCTTGAGTCAACATGGAGGCCTCGGCGGCCGAACTACACGCGGAGCCGGCACGAGCGCCTTCGGCAGCTCTGGGAAGCGCTGCTGACCGACACGAAGCAGCTCCCGCTCCGGCTGGAATTCGGGGGAATGCGCCAATGCCCAAGGGGGTGCTTCTGCCCTGGATTGTTACATGTCACCGGGTCTGGCCCGAGCAGGGGTAGGGAGTCCCACCAACGCTTCTCCTGGCGCTTGCAGAGGGTGCGAGATGGAGCAGCCCTGCATCGCTCTGCACCACGGGACGGGAGCACCGACACGGGCGCTCGCTGTCTCTGTTACGCTGTGACATCCAGGCAACTGCCTGGCACGGGGGGTTATATTGCTGGTTAAATATGCGGCTCTGTGATCTCTCCTCCGCTCCTCTCTATTCCTGCCTTTAGCCTTCATGCATCTCAGGATGACGGAAACGCCAAGGAAAGGCACTTTCTCAGGCATCGCTCATTTTCTTTTAGCACAATGGCATTTTTAACAGCAAGAATAAATATTAAAATTAAAAAATGAACACAATTCACTACAGCACACACTGAAAAAATTACCTTCTCACCCACTCTGTAACGTCTCAGAGCACAGATATAAAGAGCGGCCGTGATGGAGCAGGGACAGTCACCCCACATATTCAAAGGAATGGTCCATGATGTCTTGCAAGGCCTGGGACAAGCAGCAGCAGCGCAGGGCGAGCAGGTTTTACTGCCCCTAGCTCTTAATATTTAAACACAGCCAGAGAAAGAGTGAAGGACAGATGGATATTTTCTTCCCAGCGATAGAAAACAAAGCTAGTTTTCCATTCATTTCCATTTAGCAAGTCTTCCTCTCCCCGAAAGCAGGGAAATGCAGGTGTGAGCTCACTGCTTCTGACCTTCCACTGGCCCAGGCCAAAGAGCAGCCCTGAGGCCCCAGCAGCCCCAGCATGAGTTGCCGCATGCCCAGCACAGAATGAGGGACCAGTGAGGACCTGGGTGCTCTGCTGCAAAGGTACTGGAAGATGCAGCAGGGGGAGAAGAGGCAGGAAAGATGGGATGAAACCCACAGGAACCCAACTCCCATTACTATGGATGAAACCACTGCACAGTCACTCCACTGTTCCCCACAGGAAGCAAGCTGCACGTGGATTATATTCTCCCCAATCTGCACCTGCTGAATGCAATGGCCAATTTCAAACCGCTCAGCAAAGCGGCGGAGAACATCCCATGAGGCCCATGTGGACATCGAAAAGATACTGACCCTGCAAATGACCCCTCTTCAGTGCCTCAGCTGAAACCTCATTTGCCACTGAAAAATCTGCCTGGGGAAGAACCTTTCTATAGCTAAAACTGCAGGAAAATGTTCACCAAGAATCCATCATCAAAAACAGAACATAAGCCAAGAATTGCAGGGTGGATTTTGGAAGCTGGGGAAGGAACGAGCTCCTGCTGCCACCGCTGCCCAAAGAGCCCTGGGGCCACGCTGATGGTTGGCTTCTTTTGAGGCTGTCAGCACATTTGGGCACAGAATCATTTGTTTGAATGAAGAAGCTGCCAAACATCCCATCGCTCTGGACGTGTGCCCTAAAGCCCACAGACTATAATCCAACACACCTCACTGCAGCTCTGAGCTCTGGCTTCTGCTGCCTTCTTCTATCAGGGAACAAAAGAAATGTTTTTATTTTTGGTACTTCAAAAGAGCTTATTCTACCAGTGCCGCCATGGGATTTTAAATCCTGTCAATCTAGGATGTATTTTCTTCTTACAGAGTAAGTGCCCCCTACCTCTGCTTCAAGAAAACAGTATCACTTGGAACGATTTCCAATTTTGCCTACATAACATCTCCTTTTGTCCTCTAGAGCCAGAAAGCATCGTTTGTAACACAAGTCTGAAAAACGCAGACCAAGGCAGAAGGTTAAGATGGCTGATAAGAAACATATACGTGCGGTTTACATCAAAAAGCTGCGTCGTCTCTGCAAATCTCATCTATTAATTAAGATTTGACACCACTTCTTGTTTGTTTTTAGGAGATGCTGCGACAGGAGGTAAGAAACAGAAAGGAGATGAAAAACATTAACCCAAGGGGGGTTGCATTACCAAACATTTTGACTCATTATCCACTAATACCATGGAAAACCAGGCAATACTACATGTCTGCAAACAATGTCATCGGGGCTGTCTGCGAGAGCCCTCTCCCTGTTCTCCGGCACTGCAGCAAAGCCTTGGATGTGACACCCAGACCGGCGAGCAGACTTAGTCCTTGAGGGATGAGCTTGGCAAAACATTAATGAAATCAGAATGAGACTGCAGCTTGGCTTGCTGCCCTGGGATAATGGAAGTGAAATTAAAAGTAGAGGCAAGAAAAAGCGCTTCTTGCTCTTAGCTAAGAAAGAGCATTGAAGGCATTTTTTCAAGAGTTAAAGCATTTTATACACAATTTACTTCATGCCTTTCTATCTTTACGAGCCTAGTGATAATTGATACCAGGAGGAAAGAGTATTAAGGGCAACTTATAAAAACTAACAAATAAAGGATTCTTTTGAAGAATTTTTTTTAGCCAGGAAAATCCAGAAGCCAAGAAGCCTTCTGCCAAAGAGAGAGAGAATATAAGGGCCTAGAGAACAGAAGGGCATGTAAAACAGGAAGATGAGGAATAGAATTACACGCAAGAGAAACAGAAAATACTCAGAAAAGCAAAAACACATTCTGTTTTTCCCTGCAAAGGACACTTCTCAATCAGTTGATCAATTTATTGCTATGAAACTGATTCTGCACCAAATTTCAGGAGTACCTACTGTAGAGTCCCCAATTCTTGGCAATGCTGAAGTTTCTCTGGGCCAGGGCTCCTGCTTGTCCAGGGAACCACACTAGGCACTTCAGAGACTGCACAGAGGCACCAGTATTCCTGGTTTGTCCCAGCTAGAAATAAAACAAGATCTGCCTTTCCCGAAGAATTTCTTACCATTTTTATTCTCCTTTTCAAAAGGCAACCCAAAGCTCCCCACTAAAACCACGTGCAAATGTTACCTCCTGCTGCACAACACGGTACCTTTGGGGCGTCCGAGGGGGCTACGCAGCGTGGTCAGCGCAGTGACACCTGGCATGGGACCCTGCTGGGTTCGGGGGCCCTGGCAGAGAACTGGCACCCGAGCAGGTGACAGGCAATGGATGCATCTTGACCTTCCAACCAAGGCAGAAGGAGGTCTGCAACCCTGCCTACATGTTGGGGTGGGGCTTTTTGTTTTGTTTTTGGAAGGACACAGTCCCCGCTGCCAGTCAATGAGATTCGTCCTCTTTAATCGGACATATCTGCAAGTCCAAAGGAAACTGTCTATGGAGTCTGACCCTGCTGGGCTTTATTTGACGTTTTCCCTTTGTCTACCTAAACAATAATCACTGCACATACAGCCTCAAAGGGTTAAAGCAACCAAAGCCAAAAGACATTAGGTAAATAGGAAAATAAACTTCTCTTGGAAATAGCAATAATACTATCATTAAAAAAAACAGCCTTTTTGCTTTATACTGATACATAGAAATAATTTCTGAAATGCTGGTGAAACGTCAAAAAAAAATCTGATGGCTGGTCTTGCAGCACTGCCCCGAGCTCCAGGGCACTGAAGGGCTGTGCACAGAAATACCAAGACACCCACAGGCTGCTGGCAGCAGGGAATGGGTTAAAAGAAGTTTCCCTCCTCTGTGGAAACAGCACAGCCTGAAACCAGCACTCTGCTCTGCTGCAATGGATGGTACCTGCCCTGAGCAGGGCGGGGAGGTTAACCCTGCTCTTGCTAGCCTGCAAAGAGCTCACCGGTGCTAAAAATATGTTAAAAAGAAACGATATCTAATACAGATGAGGATGGTTTTGCACCCTTAGACCATTAAATTGAGATATGGGCAGGTACTGAGGTTCGTGTTTCACCCTTTGCTGAAAGGGCTCATTATGCAGCTGCATCTTATACATACACAGCAGCAATAACTTCACAGAGACTGTTTGAACACCTATACAAAGCTGCAGCACCACACAGATTGACAGGATGAAGAGCAATACCTATAATTAAAAACAACTCCTCCACACACCCGCTACCAGGGTTTTCCTCTGCAATTCCACATTCTCTAACAAGACATTCAAATATAGAGGTGCCCTACCTGTGACCAAGCAGATTCCAGGCAGTGCGTCACGTCCAAGACTGTCTGCTGGGGAATCTATAATTGAAACAAAAGATGGGGAGAAAAAGAATGAAAATACTTTTATTTTTGATGAAAAAGAGTTTTAAGCTATGAGAAAAGTTTTTCCCCCTCTTATACAAAGGCATTGATGCATATGCATATATACCTATGTGAATATATGCATATATTAAGACACATGCATATATTATGTATGCAACACAAATACATATATTTACATTATACAGAAATATATTACTAAAGCATTTTAATTCATCCAATATGCAGCTCTACAAAATTTAATCCACAGCAGCCCAAACCTCCCAAGCCGCAGCATTAAGGTGTTTCTCCTTCAGCCGTCCAGGAAGGCACCAAAGCTCCCGCTTTTAAAAGAAAAATCATTACCAGCTCATACGCTGCCATAGCACAAAAGCCTGGGCTGAAGGGAGCGCCGCGGGCTCATTCCGCCGGAGCGCTGCTCTCCGAGGGCTCGCTGCCGCTCCCGGGGCTGCGGCAGCCCGCGCGCCACCAGCTCGCCGCTACCATGGGTATGGCAGCAAAACTGCAAATTAGAAGAAGTCCCCGCAGCGGTGAAAAGGAAAAGAGGGTGAGTGGGAGAGGAAGAGGGAGTTCACTGGCCACCGAATTTTCCAGAACGATGACAAACCAGCCGGCTCCGCCATCATCCACTCACAATAGGATGCTGCACCTCGCCGCTGCCTAGGCGGCTCGTCAAGAGGCTGCCGGTATCGAATGCCTGACAGGCATTTTAATTGCATCCAACCAAGAGCGTCCCCGGGAACGGGGCCTTTAATCCTATGAATATCATCAATGGGTCTCTTTTGTGCTGCTGCCACGCGCACGCCCCGCGCGCAGGCTGCTGCGCCGATCCTGATCCGAAACAGGTTTTCCGGACGGTAGGCACCAAAAAGGAGGTCTCGAGGGGTTTAGCGCTTGCTGCATTACCCCTTAGGAGGGAGATTCGCTCTCTCCCTTTATTTTTCTACTTGCTGCTGCTGTTCTCACTTTGGATACAGCTCATTATAAGCCTTGTGCTTACTCATTCACACCAGTGAAAAGCACAGGGCAGACTGGGACGCGCTACGGGATTTTAGGGATGAGCAGGGACTGCAGCCAGTGATCCCAGCACCGCTTAGTCTTAGTTGCTGTCGGGGGCCCCGTTTTGCCACTGCCGGGCAGTCCGGGCTCCCCTTCCTTCAGAACAAGGCAAACGGAAGCAGGACAAGGGGCTTGGGAATTGTAACGCCCCAAGAGCTGAAATGCCAAAGGCAGCCTCAGAAATTCCCTTGGGTTTTGAAAGGAGATGTGCCACAGGTGGGGAGGGACAGGAACTGGAGAAGGGGTTGGGAGGGGATGAAGGCATTAAAGGTGAGGGGAAAGGAAGGATGAAAACCGGTCTCCTTCTCCATGACTCGACACCAAATCAACACTTGGGACCAAAATCTGACCAGTTTTGAGACTGGGGTTCAGTATCTTTTTGAGTTCTGTACCTCAGTGCTGAATTCTCAGCGCCAGGACACTGTGACCTCTAGCAAAGCAGCAGTCAAGAGAAAGCAGGGAGACCAACCACTTCGGGCAGGCCTGCAGACCAGCTGGAAGCTCCTGCTGCTCAGGACACACAGACCATGTCAGAGGCTTCCTGCAGATCTGCTAAACTTCCCATCACCAAAGGCATTCCTCCTCATGTTGGATCCAAGCAGCTTCACGGATAGCACCCGTCTCCACTGATGGATTTCCCTCTCTCTCTACTCGCTGCAGCAGCGAGGAGGAAGAAGAGGGGGTGGAAGCAGCTGGTGCCCAGCACCAGCCTGCATGGGACACGGGGACAGTGGAGCCTGTGGCGGCAACAAAACAGCCTTCAGGAAGGACAACGGGATCAGCCACAGTGTTACCTGCGCCAGGCTTAGACCCACTGCAAGGAGCCTCGCGTGCCCCACGGGAAGGGCGGCTGCTGCTGCCCAGCTCCCGCTGAGGGTTCAGCTGCTGCAGCTCCAATGCTGCCCTCCTCCTCCGCTCCCCATTCCTCTGATTCCTGGGCTTTGTCCTGCACTCTGGAGCACAGGTGAATCTCATACGCATCTAAAACACCTCCACTCCGCCCAGGCAAGCACTTCCAGGGACCCAATCTACTGAAACGGTCCTTGGCAAACAGCTTTGTAATAAGTTACTGCAAATGGGAGACAATCTTAATTATAAAATTGGTCCTGGCTGCTCTCCCGTATGTCTTTCCATATTCCTGTAAAGCTTTTGTAAAGGCATTTCACACATTTCTGACAAGACAAAAAGCCCAGGAGGAGACAGTGATGAAGGGTCTAATCCAGCTAAATGCTGGAATATAGAGAACACTTAGTTCTACTATAGATTTAAGCCTGCTTTCTCCAGCTCAAAACAAGCTTCAAGGATCAGCCCAACACAATGAAACAGGAACACAAAATAACAATCCAAACATGAAGAATGTCAATAAACCAAGGTACTGGAAACGCTTAAATTAGCAAACCAGTGCTAAGTAGCACATGCTTTCCGCGCCCTGCGGAAAAGAATGAAGAAATCTACAGCTTTAACAGAGGCTCAAGGTCACACACAAGCTTGGCCACCAAGTCAGGTTGGCGGACACAGCCCAAGGTCCTTCTGGCTCAAGCCACCACCGAAATCCAAGGAGCCTTTAACCAAGCACTTGGGGGCTGCTCGCTTGCCTCCAGTGAAGCCAGGGTGAACATCTTCTGCAACGCTTAAAATAGCATCTAATGTGATCAAGTGCTGTAGATTGTGAGGAATAAGCGCTGAACAGAAACTGCACCGCTCCGGTAAAAATAGCCCTGAAACAAGGAACTTTTTGTTTTATTCCCTATTGTCTCATGCTTTAACACAGCGTCTGGGGATGCTTGGGAGGCTGAGTGGAGAAGGATGCTCTGCAGGCACCACCCGAAACACCAGCCATCTGAGAAAGAACCTGGCTTTTCTGCATTCTGCCTTTTCTGGCTTTCCTCTCGAGAGGGAGAAGGCAGAAGAGGAGGAAATAAATCCCTTGAGAAGAGCTACCGCTGCCATCTCTCTGGTTACCCAGACAGGGGCCATCACGGAGCGGTCAGGGAAGCTGCAGGCTGAGGGAGCAGCTGCTGCGGGCACTGCATGCACAGGGGTTAGAAAGCCAGGGAAGGAAGCTCCAGGATGCACGGAGACCCTGGGTTCCTTTCTTCATTCTTTCTCCTCACTATCACAGCTTGTTACTTGCTTAAAAACTGTCAGGTATTTTCAGGCATGATCTCTCTTTTGTGAATCCGAGCTGACTCTCCTTAACTGAATAATACATTTGAGGAATACCGAGCAAGGCAGCTCCGATTTGCACCTCGCGGTGTGCCGGCACGTCGCTGAAATCAAGCTCATGGGTACAGCATATTCAGGGCCTTCCAGGGCTGCTTTTCAAAACAACCAAAGCTGCAAGAACCCTCTGAGGCTACCAGAGAAAAATACTCCTGGCTTTGCTTTGGTTTCTAGTTTAGATACCAGTGAAAGAATAAGAACCCTAAATTCACAAAAGACTCCTGTTAGGCCCCCAGAACTCCTTTTTATTCATGATGAAGCTACAAATAGCAGCTGCCAGGTGAGCATGCGCCTAATCCCATATTAAGGCATCACTGCTGCCTCGGGAAGCTGGAGCCCACGGAAGGGAGCAGCGGGGTCTCACGCAGCTCCCGCTGCCAAGGCACCAGCACCAGCAACAGTCGCTCCGAACGCCCCGCGCTTGAAAGGCACCCACGGAGCAGAGGAAAGGCAAGCGAGCAAGTCGAGTCCCCAGGCAAATTTCAGGGCGGCAGAAGACAAACCACAGAGACAAACCTCAGAGAGCCACTAAATGCCAGTTAACTGATGTAATGTGGTGCAGCCTGTGGGTATCTTGTCACGATCCCCCTGTCCATGGAGATTTCCTGGTCCCTGGAAGATGCGGGCACCTTCCAGTCACTTCCATGAGCCTGAAATACCACAAATAATTGATGGCACCAGCAGTGCTGCAGAAGCCCAAGCCCTGATGTGCTCTACACAAACACAACACTGCAGAGCACACATACAGGAGTCCAGCGGCTTTGGAGCTGAAAAGCAGAGCCGACCCGCTGCTAAAGGGAGGCTCGGAGACCAGACAAGACACAAAACTCCTGCTCCGCACTGTTTTTCCTTGCTGCTTTGAATATGCAAGCAGAAGGAGCTATTCTTCATTTGGTTTTAATCCCATTTCCTACCAGGAGACAAATTGCCTTAGGGCTGCAGCAAACGCAGGATATAAGGGAAGTCAAGTTCTCAGGCAGATGTCTTATTAGAGCAGTGCTGGTGCAGGGAGCAGGCGAAGCACCAATGGTGATAAATCCTCCAGTTTACTTCAAGATTCTCTTTCTCCTCCAAATCCTCCCTCCTGCACAGCAGGAGGTAGAGACGATTCACAGGGGCACTTGCCAACCCAGAGGGGCTCAGCCCGGTGTGGGCCCCAGGACTCCCCACTGCCCCTTTTTCAATTCCTTTCCTCCAAATCCCACTTGTAAGTAGCTGTTGACTCCACAGTGCCTCCCATCTCGTTCAAGCACTGCTTCAATCTCCTGTCCCATGATACTCATTTTTCCCCTTTCACTCCTATTACAGCCACCCACTCTTCTTTCTTCATCCTTCATTTTTCCTCTCTCTCCTCATCCTCTCTCTTTCTCCATCCTCTACCAACCCTCAGGGCCACTCGTAGGGTAGAAGGCAGAGAACAACCAGTGACTTATCCCAATTGCCTGCCCTAGGCTTCCCTCCACAACCTGGTCAGGCCTTTAGGGGAAGCTCTGACTTTATTCTCTCTCACAGAGCCCTTAAGTAGGAGCAGATGCCCAATACCCTTAACCACGTACCCTAGTGGTTCTTCCTTAACTGTCACATCATCACATCACACCTCATCATTAAAGCTTGAGCTATTATTCCATATTTCATTTATCAATAAACACTTTACAGCCGTGAATCACTTGCTGAATCAGATTTTGTATGACATGCAT